AGATACAAGAATAATACATTTATACAAATTGGATGACCACAGTCAGTAGATTATAAGCTTTGTAATGATACCTTACAAGAGACCTTTTGCATGAAGCATATTCCAGTTACATTATATTCCCACTCATTAGCATATTTTCATAAAATCATATGGAGTGCAACGTCACACACAGCCCCTGCCTCAAAGAGCTTACAACCTAGAGTCAAGCCAGGCAAAGCAAGCAGTGTTATCCTCATTTTAAAAGGTGGGGAACTGAGGAACAGAAAGATTCATGACTTGCCCAGGGTCTCTCAGGAAGTCTGTGGCAGAGCTAGGAACTGAGCTCAGATCTCCTGAGTCCCGGTCCAGTGCCTTATCCACCAGGCCAGCCATCCACGCTGGAATGAATAAGTAAGAGGAACTGCCTGGGAGGAGCTAAAAAAAGTTCTAATAATTTACAGGTTCTGATAGTTTTACCAGACAAAACTCTGTCCCCCCCAACCCCCTTCACTTTTGACTACTACTCTCAACACTAAAATGACGATATAAGCCAGAGAACAGGAGGCCCAGATATACTAAAGGGAGTAAAATCCCTAAGTACATTGTAGGAGTTAAACCAAGTCTCACTCTGCTGAGCTGGAGATGGCGGTGAGGCGAGTACCTTCCCCCTGAGGTCTGAACTCCCGAAACAAGCAACTTTACTCTCTTGGTAACAGTGAAGGGATTCAGGTTGAAGTTTCTGCAAGTAACACTGGCTCTCTCTGTTTTTATCTGCAGCCATCCATACCTCCACCTCCACTGGAAGGCCCCCAGTGACAACAGAGCAGCCCAGCGGGGCTGCTTCCACATCCATTACCCTCTCTATAAGCAGCAACGACACTCATGGACTGTGAGTTTCAGGGATCCACTGGACTGAGTCTCACTCTTATTACCCTCATGTGGCCCATGCCCAAGGGCCCTTACCTATCTCCAAAGCCCACCCAGAGGTTTCTGCTGCATCTCTGCCCTTCCTGCCCATCAATGTTACAGACGGTCCCTATTCCATTCTACCCTAACAACACGCAAGCTGATTTTCTCTCTGATGCTGGGATCCAAATCTCTTTAACACAATCTTATTGAAACCCGATTTGTTTTTTGCCACATCTAGAAACTCCCAAATATCCATCACATTGGATGAGAGCTATGAGATATTTATGGTCATCTAGAGCAGTGACTCTCAACCTACTGTACCCCTTTCAGGAGTCTGATTTGTCTTGCGTACCCCAAGTTTCCCCTCACTTAAAAACTACTTGCTTACAAAATCAGACATAAAAATACAAAAGTGTCTCAGCACACTATTCCTGACAAATTGCGGACTTTCTCATTTTTACCATATAATTATTAAATAAATCAATTGGAATATAAATACTATACTTACAGTTCAGTGTATAGTATCTAGAGCAGTATAAACAGGTCATTGTCGGTATGAAATTTTAGTTTGTACTGATTTCGCTAGTGCTTTTTTATGTTGTAAAACTAGGCAAATATCTAGATGAGTTGATGGACCCTCTGGAAGTCCTCTATGTACCCCAAGGGGTAAGCAAAGCCCTCGTTGAGAACCACTGGTCTAGAGAAAAAAAGGTCCCACACTTTACGCAGAGAAGCAAAGAATACTCACATCCTTGGTGATAGGATCCCACAGAACAAACTAACATAGGGACCTTGCGGGGTTAGATTCCTTGGCAGGAAGCTAGCAACTCTTGTTGCGGGAAGCACTGGACAGGGCCTGCCTGGGTCCAATCACTTCAACATCTAC